GAAAATCACAAATCTCATCTGGATAGTTGTTCTTCCAGACAAGATTGAACCAGCTGCCCCTGAAATAAAACATCAATGTTGTATGTCTTCCAAAGTAACTGTGTGAGAAATATACAAGATTACAACAGCTTACCTTCCTGGCAGACACAGGGATCTCTGCACATTCACACTTATCCTGTAGCACTCTAATGCGGAAAATTTTGTAAAGAGCTCGCATACAGTAATGGCTCTTCAATAGACATACGTACACATGTTTTCTTGTTATAGTTCATTTTGTGACAATGTCACCGCCTCTGATTATGGGATTATTGTTATATAATGAATTCATAGGCAGAAGTCATAGGCTAATTGGGTTACTATCTTGGCACAACCACAAATATGTCATGTTTCTGTTACACTGGCCTGCTTGCACATGCCCATCTTTTCTTTGCCCAGGTTGGTGTTAAAATAAAGTGATATAATGATATGATTTTTATCATGACAGTCTTATGAATACACATCACCTTTGTTCAGCAACAAAAACAATGATGAAGGTACAAAAATTGTAAGAGGATGTAACATCTCCCATTTTTTCTATTATGTGCCACCATGGTGGTCATTTTATGCATTAAAACAGCTGTCAAGCAACGACACAGTGATTGGCTATAAGCAGACTGGTTATGTTTGCCTTACGAATCATACCTTAGCTAGAGAACAGAGGAGACAAGAAGGAATTTTAAACTATAGACATTACATGTCAAATCAGACATTTTACACATCACCATAAAATATTAGGCAACTTTTTTGTGTTTTATATGTTGCCTTGGAATCTTATACAGAGTATTTTGCAACCAGTCTGCCATACCTAGGAAGTCATGCCAAAAACATTAATACAACAGTGATCCTATTTCCAACCACTCCAGAACTATGGATGTTTTAAGATGTGCAAATAATAAAGGCCAGCATCTGTGGAACTCAACAGATGGCAACACTGATCATTTTCACTTCAATTTTATACAGAAGGTAGCGGTTATTGCAAAAAATAGATTGAGAGAAATCAAACAAGATTACTGGAAAAACTTCTGCGATGGATTAAATCAATTCACAAACCCATCGTATATCTGGGATAGAATGAAAAGATTAAAATACAGATTTAACAAGACAGATCGGGAACGAGAATGCAAAGAAGAACTAATTAATTCTGCCATAACGACCTTTGGAAAGCTATGCTCCGGGCTGGATGAACCCAATCAAGCACCGGCATTCAATTACGAAAATCAGGATTCATTCCTCGACTCAGAATACACAATCCAAGAACTCCTCTACTCAATTAAAAACCTCAAAGTCCGATCCTGCCCGGGCCGGGATGGAATAGATTACGCCATAATACGCAATTTACCAAAGGAAGCCTTAGAAATCCTGCTAGAAATTTATAACGACATTTTAAGAGCAAGAGTGTTCCCAGATGATTGGAAAAAATATAGAGTATTCTTTATCCCTAAACCAGATAAGACTAGTGTAAGACCCATATCGTTGGCGTCATGCGTGTGCAAGGTGCTAGAAAGGATGATAAACATGCGCATATCTTGGTGGCTAGAGAAGAATATGAAGTTCTCAGAATCACAATATGGATTTCGGCGAAACAAGGGTTGCACAGACAACCTAGCTATATTAACAACTGAAATAATAAAAGCGTTTGAAGAACGGAACACAGTATCGGCCGTATTCTTAGACATTAAAAGCGCATATGACAACGTCCACTGCGGCACTTTGATGGATAGACTCAAAGCCGTTGGCTTTTCGGGAAACCTGATAGCTTTTATATTTAACCTGGTCTCCGCAAGGGAATTAGAGGCAAACTACGGGGGGGTAGAGCTCAAAGACTGGACATACAAAGGCTTACCCCAAGGTAGCGTACTGAGTCCAACCTTATATTCACTTTATATGGCTGGACTGAAATCCAAAATCAACCAGAACTGCAAAATCCTGGAATACGCAGATGATGTTGCAATTTATTCAGTTCACAGATGTAGCAGAATTGGTGTGGCAGAAGTTGAAAAGAGCATACAAAGCATTGAACTCTATCTAAAGGAAAGTGGCTTGGAAATAGCACCAAAAAAATGTCAACTGTGTATCTTCGATAAAAAAGGTACAACTGAAGGAGAATGGGAGATTAAGGTACAAGGGGAAAAGGTTTCCTCAGTCAAATCAATAAAATTTTTAGGTCTGCACCTAAAATCCAACTTAGACTGGGAGGACGAAATAAACGCAATAGTCAGGAAGTGCGAAAACCCGATGAAAATCATGAACTGTGTGAAGCACACCTGGTGGGGAGCGGATCCTGTAATTTTAATTAGACTCTACAAGGCACTGATAAGGTCGAGGATGGAATATGGAGCATTTTTATTTCATAAACTTAAGAAGAAACAAGCTCAGAAGCTTGAGAAGATACAATATAGGGCTATTCGTGGAGCGCTGGGTTACAGGAGTAGCACCCCGACCAATGTAATGCTAGCTGAGGCCAAAGAAGTCCCAATCTTTAGTAGATTTAAACAGTTGGGAAAGAACTACGTGTCCAGGTGTTATACATCAACCAATCATCCAATGATCCAGCTGCTGGAAGAATTATCAGCTCTACACGATAACCCAGGGAGAGGAGAAAATGAACTACCAGTCATTAGCAAATGTTACAAAGAGGTATCCCCTCTTGGGCATTTAATCCAATCAGGGAACTGTCCCAAGGCCTACGACTACACGTACGAAAGTCTCTTCTACGAGGCTAGAGTATCGTTCGATGAGGGAAGACAAATAAAGGAAACAGAAGATCATAACAAGGAATTTTACAAGATATTCCAAGAAAGAATTAGGACCAGCAAAAGTTTCGCCACGGACGGCTCAAAAATGGTGGACAAGCCTTTTGTAGGATTGGCACTGATAGATATAAACGATGGTCGTCGAATGAAATTCAGAATATCCAAGATAGCGTCCATATTCACTGCAGAAGCATTAGCAATTGCCGAAACACTAGAAATCATCGAAAAAACAGAATCCGGGCAAAACTTCACGATTTTCTCGGACTCGGCAAGCGTGTTACAAAGCATTGGTAACCCCACTAAAATAAGCAACGCATCGCACATCATCCACATGCTAAAGGATAAAACAGAGAGACTCGAATCACGAGGGAAAAAAATCCAATTCTACTGGATCCCGGGGCACTGTGGAGTCGAAATTAATGAGAGGGTCGACTCGCAGGCAAAGCTAGCAATTAAAGAAGGCAGAGATAGCCAACTACTACTACCCGTGGCTGATCTTAAAACCGAGTGGAAAATGAAAGGGAAAGAAGAACTCCACAGCTTTTGTCAAAACACCAAACAAGAAAGGGGAGAACGCTACTTTGAAAGGTACTATAGGAAAGGCTCTACTCCGTGGTTTAGTCAGATAAAAATGAACCGCCGTGCCTTCGTGTCAATAAACCGTATGCGAGCAGGACATACCAGTCTTAAAGTAAGTCTAAACAGATTTAACATTGTGCCCACGGCCGAATGTGAATGTGGTGACGGGTTGCAAACGGAGGAACATATTTTCTGGGATTGCAAACAGTGTGACGACCAAAGGGCAATAATGATGGGCATCCTCTCCGAGAACAGTAAAAAGAACTACCCAAAATCAGTCACAGAGCTCTTGAGGCTAGAAGAAAAGAGATTTCTGCAAGGCATCTGCTACTTCATAAACAACATTCCCATATATATTTAAAACGGATACGTAAGGAAAGAACAAGAGGAAATGGCACGGACCACTCACAACATTCTCAAATTTATGCTAAGATGTGAATTAACCGCGGGCCCACCGCTACTATAGAAAGAGAAGATTTTAGAATGTGCTACAGAAGGCCGGATGGGCATTGCCTAGGCCACTTTTGTATCCTAGTTAAAAAAAAAAAAAATTATACACTGAATGTGCTATAGAGGGACAGATGGGCATTGCCAAGGCATTTTTGGTATTTACAATTATTTTTGACAATAAAAAAATTATCCATTATTGGTCCTCAGTTCTCTCTTGCCTCAGTTGCTTCTGATCCCTGCCAAGAGCCAAGCGCGACAACTACACTGCATTAAGGTCAAAATAATATATTCTTTGTGGAAATTTTTGCAGTATTATTCAATGGCTCATTCCTACTGGATATGGCAATATCCATTATATTACTGCTGAAAGCACTATTCAACACAAGTCTCAATGAATGTCTCATGTGGTCTCACTGAATATCTCATGATGAACCATTCCTTCTGGAAAAATTTTTAAGTGCTGCTAATTAGCTGCATTAACATATTTTTGTGTTTATACCAATTGTGAATGTGTTAGGGAGGCCACCATTGATTGCAGAATATACAAGCTCATAAATACAAACATACAATAATACAGATTTTGTTCAGTTATCTTGATGACTGAGTCTTACAAGAAACTATAATGGATATAGAATGTGTGCTATATCATTCTATACAATTTTAATTTGAAACACTCTTTTCTCTAGCAAGTTACTCGTAAGAAACATATAGAAACACAAAGAGGTTTATGTAACGTGGTCATTACTAAACTTGTGTGATGTAAGTGAATATTTATTTTTTTATAAAATTCTCCAAAGAGAACTTTCATGAAAATATGTTCAGTGGTTATCAAGTTGTTTTTTGTACATGCTGAGACAAACAAACAAACAAACAAACAAACAAACAAACTCTGGCTTGAGTCCACAAGTGAACTATACTGACCAAGCGACTGCTGCTTGTTGGCGAAGTTAGTGGACACACTGCTGCAAATACACCTAAAAGAGATGTGTATATAAAAAAAAAGTTGTAGTTTTTAAACTGTTACTGAACTGAATTCTTATTCAGTGACGATGATGAACTGACTCTGTAAATACCACAATAATTCAAGCTCTGGCATACATAAAAATTACAAATATACAAAAATACTGATCCAAACTGATGGTTTAATGAAGAGGAAAAGGATAAAAATGAGATGATGGAGATTTTATATATTATAAATCTATATATTCTGTTCTACTTACAACTGTTAGTCATATAATTTATAATACATTTCTAAAGTATTTTGTATCTCTGATAAGAAATTCTTCATTTAGCATTGTAATATCCCCATTTTCAAACAAGGAATAATCGTAGTATCATACTCTTCCCAAAACGCATAGTTTCATTTTGCAAACTGCAGTACTCCATATGTAAACACCAACTTCATGTGGACCTACTCCAAATGCACTTTTAATTCATTTGAGACGTCCAGATCGTGCATCTGTAATGACTCCCCATAATTCAATAATAAAATCGTCTGTGAATCCAAATTCTTCCAGTTCTGAATTGTCTATGGCTTCTGCAAAATCCATGCTGTTTGTTTTGCCTTGTGCTTGCTCCCAGATGAGTGTAGCTGAAAAGAAATGGCACAAAGTAAAGGGTTATAAGAGCAGACACTTTCCTGTTCCCCCCCCCCAGTTCTTCAGTCTTTGTATCAGCGATCTCCAGACAAAAACTATGCTGCCGTCAAGATTGTAAATACAGTGAATAGGTCATGATGTCAAAAGCATTATTTTGGACTTAGTCCATCATCCACCTTTATTAAACCAATGCATTTCCAAAAATGGTTCTATTTCCATCTTCAGATGAGCAGGATACAGAAGAAAATCTACTCTTCTGGGATGTAGTCTTGCAGATGCTTACCAATGTTTCAAAGAATTATACTCCCTGTATCTTATTCTACAATGAAGGAGAGTGTTCCTCCTAAATACTGGTGAAGTCTATCAGATTACATGGCCTCACATTCCAGAAGACAGTAATCATCATAGTCAGCACCATGAGAACCTCAAATCTCATAAAACCCACCTACTGGGCCCCTTGGTAGAGCTTACAGTTTAGAGTGGCTCTACTGAGGGACCCCGCAGAGTAGGTTTCCTTTTGTATCCCATTCAGCTGAAGATGGAAACAGAACCAGATTAGATTCTGAAATGTAGTGCATTTAATAAACTCAGATGATGGACAAATTATAGAACAATGGTTTTAAATAAAGTTTCACTTTGTATTAAGTCTTGTATTGAAGTGTGAACAGATACACCCTAGGGAGAAAGCCGTCTTCTGGGATGTGGCGCCGTGTAGAAATTGTATTAACTGACGTTTCGGAGGAACGTATCGCCTCCATCTTCAGGGTAGAAGACAAGAATAAATCCGCGAGCGAACCAGCAGAGCAGGTGCAACAGACTGTGTTCCTCTGAAACGTCGGTTAACACAATTTCTATATGGCACCACATCCCAGAAGACAGCTTTCTTCATAGTCACCGCCGTGGAAACCTCAAATCTTACACAGATACACTCTAATTTCTGTTGATGAATTCATATTTAAATGTTATACTCCAACAATTAACTAGATTAACTCTTTGCTCTTCTTACCATAACAAAATTCTGACACTTTTAATGTAGTTAAATGTGGTAATGAGATTTTATGTTCTCACTGCCAATATCAAGATTATAGTCTTCTGGGATATGACACCATATACTTTGTGGAGAGGCTGCTCCAAAACACTGGTACCCATGTATTGACCTACACAGCAACATATCCCATGAGGCTATAATCTTTATCGTGAAATCTAATTCATGATTTAAACACTCTGAAGAAAAACTGGGCTGAGAGCACGAAACACTAATGTGTTAAATTAAATGGGCATATCTGACATCTGTGTCACAAAATTATTTCCACTCTCTGAGTGTTATTTGAAGTGACAGTGTTGATAAAACTATGTAAGACATAAAGATGGTTAAGGTTCATTTTAAGATATGATCATAATATGTTAAAGAGAAAAGCACCTAATACAGAAGAAGCCGATTCTCTGTCTTGTAGTAACTAACCAGAAAATAATCTTAGTTTAGACTGAACTGCCTTACCAAGTTCTGAATCATTTATTCCCATGAAGCTCTCCAGTAAGTTATTGATTTTGTCAATTGCAACTTGTTGTTCATCGGAAGCCTGAAATGAACAACTTTATTTTTATATTTTAGCAGTGACAAGCCAAGTACAGAGATTTTTAGAATGATAGTAGCGAATTACAAGTCATCTGTTTACAGTAGTTCCGTCTGTTTTATAACACTTTCTTAAAATCTTAGATTACACATAACAGTAAATCAAATAATACTAATCTACAGTCATTCCTCCATATTCTCAAATTTTTTGTTTATGGTTTTTCTTATTTATAGCTGAATTTCGAATAATACATTAACAATCACAAATTTTCTTCAACAAGTTTTCTGTGATACTTCATGGTCTTCTTGTTTATCAGCATGCAATTGATTCATGCCACACCATGGTCAACTTTAGCTCATGTCTTGTTGTTGTACTGGCAACATTTCCTGAAAATTTGCTTATTTCTTTTGTATTTTCTCTGCAACCATGCTTCCCATAAGAAAGAATAGGATTTCAGCAATGTAAGTCAAGTACAAAAAATGAATAATGCATATATCATTAAAACAATATAAGCATTTATATCTTAGCTTTGTATCCCACAGAAACATGGAGGTACATCTTATTCTCTCTGACAAGACATGAACATGCAAAGCAGCAGCAAAGGTGGCCATTATTATTAGCCCTCACTCAACAACAGAGAAAGTATGTTAATGGCAAAGCTGACTCAGCTGCACTTGTTATTCATGGTTAGTGATCTTAGTTTCACTGGCAAAATATAAGTTACTAATACTATTCAGATATAAAAATAAGCCCTCTAAAATGTTAACGTAATATTACTGTCTTACATTATCATCTGACAAACGGTTAGGTAAAACTGTCCCTACACTAAACCATCACGCCATGAAGATATGTGGGTGAACGGAAATAAAACATTCAGCTTCATGCTCCAGCCACTTTATCCCCCACAAAGAGGAGTGCCTGGTACATACCAGATAGGAGGCTGTGTCAGCCAAAGAGGTGGACTGAACATGGCAGTGAAGTGAAATATCTCTGCCTCAGGTTAGGAACCAAACCTCATTTGTTTGGTCCACTGGATACATGAGTGGACACTATATGTGGTTTAGATATGTTAACAAAGACAGAAATTCCTGCCTCTGCTGTCCTGTCCATAACCAGTCACATATTGATTGAGCCCTCCCAGTTCATTGTTTTACGATGTGCAGTCAAGATAAGGAACTACAAATAAACAAACTCTGTGGTTTCAGACAGCAAGCAAACTATACGGACCAAGCAAAGGCTACAATAAATTAAAATGATCATCCTCACCTGCTCTATCTGAGCCTCTCCGTTGGCTCTAAACCTGAGTGTCTCCTTGCCAGTCCCATAATTCGCCTTCTTCCCCTTGCGAGAATCACCTTTTGGTCCCACATTAACTAAAGGCAAATAAAGTAACAAGGGTACTATCTTCCTTCAACACATATACCTGATGATGGTGCTGTGTCCGAAACATGTCATGCATTTATATGAAAGCATGTACTAAGTGGTGATTTGACCAATAATCTGTGAAGATGCACTGAAGACTGTATATGTCAAATGAGTCACATGGGTTTTGCATTAATGTTTCACATAAATTTTATTTAGTTTTTCTAGCGAAGACAAAAAAATAATTAACTTATTTGTCTGAAATAAAAAACTGATTTGTAAACGTATAAAACAAATGGTACTAAGTTAAAAGAATTACATATTTGCAATGAAACTTAGAGGCGGTGAAACCTAACAAGTAACAAAAATTTTGAGTTACACAACTACTGTAGCATAGTGCAACTACCATTTATATCATTGGATACCTGCAGGGCAGAGCTAGATATTTTCAGAATATTTTCATTTGCAATGTCAATGGTTTACTGATAAACTGTAGGTCAAAGACTGTAATTACGATACTTCACAGCAAAAATGAACATGTTTTCTGGGATGAGATGCCATGTTGTTTTGTATGTGGATACCAACATTCTGGAGGAACCTGCTGCCTCCATTTTCGGGGTTCCTGACCTACCAAACTCTATGGCATCACATACCAGAAGACTATAATCTTGATACCAGTATGGGAACCTCAAATCTGACAGGTTTTCTCTGAATCTCAGTAATATTGACTATTGTTTTTCTCTGTCAGTAGTTTTGAGTGATATAACTTCAAATTACAAATTAAAATACATTTATTCGTAAGAATATTCAACTTTGTTATCCATGATACTTACTGAAGCCATCCTTAAGTGGTTCCACAAGTCTAATTGTAAATGTGCTATCTCTTGGAATTTCCTTGAGCATTTTTGCTACTTCGAAGTGTCGTTTTCCCACAAGATTCTCAGAGTTGATCTTTTCAATATGGTCACCAACCTACAATAAGTATATATAATATTTAATTCTAGGAGTTGTTAGTTTTTTTCTGTGACTAAATGAGATTTTTTCACATTTTATGTCAGGGTCCATCCCTCTTCGCAATATTTCTAACTTCCATGCAACAGCTGAACTATAAAAAATACCCATTTGATTCCTATTTCTATAATGCACAATGTGTATTATTCAGCTCTGAATAGCAGTTTTCAATTTAACATCTTTTGCAGCATGGACATATACACTGGTCCTCTAGCACAAGAAAGTAATGATTTATCTTAATGAAAGGCATCTTGATCAGTCACATTTCTTCATATTTAACTGAAAAGTAATTCCATCGAGTGTAACCAGTTTAATATAAAAATATGAATAAACTTTTATGTGTTTCAGCCAGCATTTGCCATCACCAAAAGGTTCTCCAACACTATAGAACACTTTTCTTTGAAGACCTAACAAATACGCCACTTTCCGTACCTGAGCAATCTGTATGGCATCAATGCATACACTCAGTTTCTCCCTTGCTGAAAGGTATGCAGTCGACTGTCAATAAAAAAGAGGGGTCACTACTGGAATGGGAATTAGTACAGCACAATTTCCTAACAGGGTGTTGATAAACTTAATGTTTAAGCCACTTCAGGCTATTTTTATGATTTCCCTTGAGTATTCAAGATAGAAGAATATTTTAAAAAGAATTTAGTTATGGTAATTGGTTGAGGCACTATGATACAAGCTGGAAGGTTGCAGATTCGAATCCCAATGAGGTCACTGGATTTTTTAATTGACCTAATCCTTCCAGCTGTACTATGGCCCTGAGGTCAACTAAGCCTATAACAGAAATGAGTACCAGGAATCTTTTTGGGGGTAAAGGGTGGCCCGGCATGTAAGGCTGACAACCCTACGAGCATCTGTGAGCTGACTGTCTAGAAAATGTAGAAGCCTTAACATCTCACAGCCCTATAGCCTTTCACGACCTGTTACAGGGATCGTTTTTAACCGTTAATGTGTAGAGTATTTTATATGCTCATCTGTGAGATGTTGTGTGTATGCTCAGTAAATGTTGTTGTTGTATGCAAGGTGTCCTGTGGTAGACTCACAATCTGATTTAATAAAATGATTTAATTTTTAATTTTATCTTAATCTTAATCTTAATTTTTAATGCTATGATCCTTCTGAAGAAGGCCAATGCTGTGTATTTACACGTTTTTATATTAAACTGGTTACACTCGATGAAATTACTATTCACTTAAATAACGGTAATGAGTTATAACAGAACAACACAATAAAGATCATTAATGGTTGGGGGAGGGATATTTCTTACAATTTTCTAAAATATAACTAATGTTAACTGCTGATTTTAAGTTTCTGTGGTGTTCATACTGATCTTGCTTAGGCTCTTGGGTACTTGCAGAAGTACATGCTGCCTCCATCTTCAGGGTTGATGTGTGTAGGGTGGGTGAGGATGGCAGCTGGTTTCCAGTTCAGGCCAACAGGATGGTGAACATGAAATTCCTTTCAGTGCATTCAGTGACCCTAATATGGGCTGTATGTGTGTGATCATATATCTAATGTTGAGTGATACAATGATCAGTGAATAATAAATTGGAAATTATGTTGAAGGAATCAGCCATGGCCTATGTAGGCTACTGCCCCAGAATTTGCCTGAAAGGATTGAGAAAAACCGTACATATCCTCAGCCAGGACACCCAGTCTTAAGGCCAAGATTTGAACTAGTGACCTCTTCAACACAAAACAGGAGTATTTTGTAATTACAGTTAGAATTGTGTGTGTCATTGAAGTTATAATGCACAGAGGGAAAGATATCAGACATAATTTTGAATGACCAAATGAGATTTACATGTAAGGAATTACTATCCAATAATTCTTCTAGGCAATATTGATCTAGTATTGTTTGCTATCTTGCTGGCTGTTGTGCAGTCGTTTTTAAACTGAGTGATCAGGACATTCTGCATAATGGATCTGAATTATCAGTAAATGATAATTTACTTTTTTCATGATTATTTTCTTCTAACCTGGATGTGTTTAATGGAGTCAATGACACTCCCTTCTTTAATTCTCTTGATGAAAGCATAGCCTGCTCCATTGTCAGTAATTGTCAGTCCAAGTGCATCTTCTGTTTTTCTGATCTCAATTTCTTTCGGTCGACCTGGAAATGGTAGAAATTAATAGGCAATCATAACAGTACAGAATAATGGCAATAACTGACTCCAAGTAGGATTTATAGCATAGTATAGTTCACAAAACAATCCTATAAACCAGTGATTCTCAACCTTTTGCATCTTGAATCTCACTGGTTGTCAAAAAACCACATTCCCACCATATTAAAAACAAAGCTCCACTTTTCCAAGAAGAACATTTTTACAATTACATACAATTGTAGCATCCTTTCCTTATTTTGAAAAAATAAGAGACTTATGAGATCACTTTGCAGTCTGTCTGTGTACCCCCCAATTAATTTTTCATTTTCTCTGTGGTCTGTGCCTATACAGTTCGTGTCTTTGTGTCTGCATGTCTCATTTTAATTTTTTTGTTTTCTGTGCAGTCCATGCCATACCATTATTTTAGTATACCATATTAATTATTACTAGAATTTAACATTTTTATGAGACCTCATGTCCCACCCAGCCCCACATCAAGTCCCACTGGTTGAGAATAACTGTACAATGTATGTTGTTCAATCAGCAAGAGTTCTATTGCAAAGGTAAAGTTTCCCCTGTGCTTAATTAATTTAACACCATGCCATGAAGACGTATGGGGAAGTGGAGGTATAGCTCAACAACATAAAAAAAGGTAAAGAGATCCCTGTGACAGGCTGTGGAGGCCTGTAGGGTTGTGAGATGTCGACAATCTCAACATAAATCAATTTATAAATAATGGGAAAAATTATTAAGCCTCTGTGTAATGTAATGAGATAAAAAATGTGAAGTTGTCACTGTGCTTAACTAATTAAGCACTATGCCATGAAGGCGTATGGGGGAGTGGATGTACAGACCCATGTTTTCTTGACCTTGGCACTAGCTGGAGGTGAGCGGTCAGCTTCACGCCACAGAAGCTTTACCCTGGGGAAAGAGCCCCTGGGACCCATTGTATAGGAGGCTGGGTCGGCCCCAGAGCCGGTCTGCTGGACGACATGGAGAAGTGAAAATTCTTGCCCCCTTCCGGACTTGAACTCTGATCCCTTAGTCGTCCAGCCTGCAGCCAGTCACTATTCCGACTGCACCACCCTGGCTCTAATGTAATAAGGTAACAAGAGAAGTAAACATGATTTAAAAACACAGGAATGAGGAAAAAGAAGAGGTGGAAAGGAAATTAATATAAATTTATTATGAGCAAATAATGATTCTCTAAGAGGTTTATGACAATGGTTAGCAAAATCGCACCATAATCAACTTTCCAGAGAAATCTTTGTTTCATTCCCTTTGGAATATCAGCTATCAGTCTATCTTCAGTTCTTATGCTTAATATCTCTTCCATGTAAAAGTAAAAGTAAAGCTATCCCTGTAACATGTTGTGAAGGCCCATAGGATTGTGAGATGTCGAGGATCCCACATTTTCTATAGACAGCCGGCTCACAAATGGCGGTAAGGTTGTCAACCTTACGTGTCAGCCGCCCTTTATCCCCCAGGAAGATTCCTGGTATTCAGGTCTGTTAGATAGAGGCTGAGTCGACCCCATGACCATAGTGTGGCTGGAAGGATTAGGTTAACTGAAAAATCCAGTGAACTCATTGGGAATCAAACCTGCAACCTTCCAGCTTGTAGCATAGTGCCTCAACCAACTACGCTACCACGTTGCCCCCCTTCCAAGTAAAAGGAGTAATTAATCCGAATGTTTAAAATCAGGTTCTCAAGACCTGATTCTCTCTGCTCCAAACACTTTGAACTCCATAAGAAAAACGTGCTGCTATTTGTTCCATGTCTGGTAGGTTCCAGTGTAACCTGAAGATGAAGGCAGAGTTTCTATTGAGACAGTGATAAATATCTATCAGACTACACGACATCGTTTTCCTCAGAACACTATTCTTCACACTCAGTGGCATGAGAACCTCAAATCTCACAATAACAGTAACATTCATTTGGATTCAGCGAACAAAATTCTTCTGATGTTGCTGACAGGTTCTTTCAATAAAAAATACTAAAATTTGACTGCATTAGAAGAGATTTATAGTACGTACTCAGCAAACTGAATGGAGCACACAGTAGCATAATTGGTTGAGGCACTATGCTACAAGCGGGAAGGTTGCAGGTTCGGTTCCCAATAAGGTCACTGGATCTTTCAATTAACCTAATCCTTCCAGCCACACTATGGTCATGGGGTCGACTCAGCCCCTAACAGACCTGAGTACCAGGAATCTTCCTGGGGGGTAAAGGGGTAAAGATGCATAAGGTTGACAACCTTACTGCCATTTGTGGGCTGACTATAGAGAAAATGCGGGAGCCTCAACATCTCACAACCCTATTCGCCTTCACGGCCTGTTACAGGGACAGCTTTATCTTTACCTCAGCAAACTGAAACTAATGTCATTATTAGAGCCTGAAGTGTTCTGATGATAGTGTACAACACTTAAGAATTGCTGGGTTTTTGGACTTCATCCATCATCTGGTATGCTACAGAACTGACATGGTTTCTCCAATGGAGAGTATGTCTCCCACACCCTCACATGAGGACAGAAACAGATTCACTTTTCAAAACATGCTTGTTTAGAAACCCAGATGTGGGATAAAGTCCAAAAAACCAGTAACCCCAAGAATATATTATTTTACACTATTCAGTACCTACTGAATCATTTTTAATTACTTATTTTGGCAATATGAAGATATCATAACATTCCTAACTGAATTAAATATGGACTGTTGCTTTACAAAAGGGTTTCATTCTATACCTCATCACTTACCTTTTCTGTGTACAAATATAAAGTCATCCAGTCCAATTTGCCCTCCAAGAAGTTTGGTCATGTCAACTTTGTGTGTGTTTAACGTGCAGAACAAGATCTGGAATCATAAATGAAAGGAAACATTGGTTAATAACTACCATAATTTCATGCCAGAAGACAGTATTTCATTCAAGTGAAAACAGAAGTGGAGATGAAAATGTGAAAGCTATGGAATTAAGGTAGATATCAAATGTTCTGCACCCACAACAAGAGAGGAGTCAAGAGCTCAGTCAGTACAGTGATGGACTATTGGCTGGATGGCCTGGGTTCAATTCCCAGCAGTGCAAGATTTTTCTCTTCTCCACAGCATCAATACTGGCTCTGGGACTCACCCAGTCTCATATCCGCTGGGTACCGGGAGCTCTTTCCCCAGGGTTAAAGCAGCTGGGGTGAGAAGCTGACCACTTGCCTCCAAGAATCATAAAGCTATACCTCCACTCCCCCATAAGTCTCCTTGGCACAGTGCTGAACTAATTAAGCAAAGGAACAACTTTACCTTTATCTATAACAAGGGAAACATTGTTCCTTTTAAATCCAAAATCTGAAAAAATATTTTGGTTGTCAAAAGAAACAGCATCATATTTTCTTATTCCTTGTTGTGACACATCTACTCAGCATCCAAGATTAATTCTTGTTGCCAATTCTGCAAGTTATAAATATTTGTAGGCCAGGCATTAGCTTAGGGTAAAAAGATGAAATTTAAATAAGAGATTAATATGTCAATGAGTTAATAATTATATTGATCTTAACTTCTGTGGATTCGATATGCCATTTTCCCTGTGCCACAAGTGACAGGGTAAGACTGCCAGAACTCTAAAAGCCAACTCCCAAATTCTGAATGGGAAATTCATCACCAGTCATAATTTCTCCTAGACAGCCATATTTTTTTTAACCTTTCCCCATAACTGTAAATTTGTTTTGGCAAATTTTTTAAAAATTTTAGTCCAGTGATCAGTACATGGAATGAGTTTGTGAACAATGGAAATGAAATATAATAAAGACAAGTTCTGCACCATTTTAACATGTTTATATATATTGCCAGGCAACAAATTGTTTCAGAGAATATAGTCTTCCAGGACAAGATGTGGTGAAGTCTGGTAGACTGCTTCCAACGTTTCAGAGGAACCTATTATCTCCACCTTCAGCATAGAAACAGTCAGCCAAGTGGGGAAAAAATATACAACATAAGAAACCAAGGACTTGAGGACCCTACATTATATGCAGTTTTTCCATCCTTGGCTCAATACAATGTCACATCCCAGAAGCCCATAAGCTTAAAATCTACTGCCATGAGATCCTCAGAACTCATAAAAGGACTTCAAAGCTTTAGTCAGATGTAAAGGAATAAATGTACAAGTCTGCTTGCAGCTCATCACTCAGTTTACTGTAAGAGGGATGTATTCACAGTTGTCCTCTTTCAACTGTTACCGTGTGGTCTTGTATGTGATTTTAGTATTTTCATAGTTGACAATCCAAATCCAATAAAAAAAAACTACAATATGGTAGCCAATGGTGATGGTGAAGGGGGAGGCAGCCATCTAACCCCATATCCACATTAATACCAAAATTAAAACTATTTTTAAAAAAGTGATTGGGAAACCTTGGTTCCCAGGAGTAATGTTGAAAAGGGTATTAAATTAGAATTTTTATTGGAATAAATGAACCTTGAACATTAAAACTGAAAATTTATATAGATTACTATATGTACAGTACAGCATTTATTGAAATTATCCAACGCGTTTAGTTTGTAGTTATGTCAGTGAGTAAGCGGCCTCCGTAGTCTAGAAGTAACGTTCCCACCTCATGACTCGTAGTACGCGGGTTCAAATAGCTGGCGGAGGTCGTCGAATTTTTAAGGGCGGAAAAATTCAGGGAACAAGTCCTCCAGGAGGGACTTTAAGCCGAGGGTCCCGTGTCGTAGCTTTACGGCACGTAAAAGAACCTCATGTCTCCAAAGGAGACCACTGAGCAAAATTACGGACGTTTCCCTCCCAACAGTAGTCGCTAATACCTCTGGTAGATGGGGGAAGCATTATAGATACCACTCAGGTAGTAGAGCCGGTCTCGCTGGCTTGGCAGGACTGATGGTAAGCAACAGTACTGGTAGGATATAGAGACTGGTAGAATATCATAGAGGGAAGCACAATGGACCAAGACAGGTCTAAGTGCATGGGGAAACCCACCCTCTCCAATAACTAACTAACTAACTAACTAACTAACTATGTCAGTGAGTTGAATGGCTATAGCATTGTCTCTCTCAGTGAACAGAGGAATTGAAATAGCCATATTTGTTATAAACAAATGGTCATAACTCCTAAACCATAAGCAATGAACCAAAATGGACTGCATTTTTGAGAAGCTTGCATTTATTAACACATTTCATTCCAATATTTCCCAATCCATCTCTTACAGTTTAGCCATGGCAGGCAGTTGAAAGTCCATAAATTAGGAAAATTATTATATGTTTTGGGCAATTGTTTAAACAACATACAATTTTAGCTTGGGAATAAAATAAACAATTTTTGGATAGATCAGTCTTTATTCTTTCATTTACATATTAATTTTAATATTCATTCATTCATCTGTAATCTGTCAAAACGACAGGTCCACAGTCTATTCCAAAATAATTCCTCCACTTGATACAATCTAGAGCTTTCTCCTTCAAATGAGAATATCCTCTTCTGTCCCCAACGTCATCCAGCATCTTCTTACGTCTTCTTCCTCGTCTTCTGGTCACTTCTATCTGCCCCTCTATCTTTCCTTCAATAACTTCTTTTAGAAGGCAGTTACCGCGTAAGACAGCGTTGGCCAACCTAATACATCTCGAGGGCCAAATTTAGTTTATAGAACACCATCAGGGGCCAGATACAGTGTTTCTTTCAGACGAGTGGTCGGGGAGTATTGTCCCCCAAACTGAATCAGTCACAACCCGTGTAAAAACAAGTGCATTTGAACCTATGTATTTAAATTTTACGTTTGCACCAATAATATTAAGCCGATATTGAAAATTTCACCAATCGATTTTATTGCCTTCTATCACTTCTACCCCCAGAGCATTCTTTCATAAAGAAACAGTGGCCAGATCATGCCTTATGTTTAGTTTTATATATGCCGGGGGAAAATGCAATTATAATTTAAGAAAGAAAAATAAAATGCCTTGAAATTTGCAATTGCTTACCATAAAACAGCACAAATTCCTCTTTCAGCAGGGATGA